AATTCTTTATTTCAGCACTGTCTTAGCCTATTTCCTACTAAAGGCCAGAACAACTTCGGAAGAAAATACAAGAAGATTCAATTTCTTATGAACCGCCTTCGGCCATTTAGATTGGAAGTTGTTTAATAATATCAGATGTGTTAAACCTTGTGGATAAAAATTGATGTTAAGTCAATATCTAAGTGAAGACAAGGTAACGCTGGCTTCTATAGTCATCGAGCTAGTTTCCAGTCCGATCAAGGCATCAGGCATGCCTCTTGGGACCTGAAGAGCAGCCCTCAAGAATTTAGCCTGGGTCTGTTCGAGTGGGGGAAAGCATGAAGATGGAGGTCCCAAAAAAGTGCCATAAAGCATTTGAGGGATTACTTTTGCCTGAGATAATTTTTGTGCTGCTGGTATAAAATGGGCCCCTTTTGTGCATAGAAATTTAAGTATTGCATTTGCAGATCTTTCTCCTTGCACTGCTACAAATTTATTATGGGCATTCCTTGCCCAGAGGCTTGAAGGACTATTCCCAGATATTTGTAGCTAGATACCTGCTCTATTGAGTATCCATTAACAGCCAGAAATCTCTTATTTTGCCTATTCCCAGAGGCCATAACCTTGTTTTTTTGATAGTTTATTTCTAGTTGGTTCCCACTACAAAAGCCAGCAAGTTTTGAAAGAGCTCTTAAGTCTGATTGGTGTCCTAGCTAGGATCACCACATCATCTGCATATAGAACGGAGATATGCCGTTGATGTATTTTAGGAGGGTGTAAATCAGGAGAATTAAGGTAATCAACATCATTTATATAAAAATTGAACAGTATTGGGACTGGCAGGCAGCCTTGTCAAACTCCCTTATTTGTACTAATATGTTCAGAAAGACAACCTCTCAAATTATACCTGATCCTCAAGTGGATATTGTCATGTAACACTCTTATAAGCAGGAGTCAATACTCTTATAAGCAGGTATCAATGAGGGTTCTAATTTAGCCCACAGCCGCTTTCTAGAAATAGAATCAAACACTGCCTTGAGGTCTATGATTATACAATGGTCTATAGTTGATCTCGGTTGTCTAAATCCTGCCTGTTCTATAGCTATCATATTCTCCTGGGTCAGCCACAGGTTGAGCTTATCCAAAAGATGTCTGGCATACAACTTACTGCATATATTTAATAGGTCGATGATTTGCTAGCTTATCTCCCCTCCCTTTTTTAAAAGCAGGGACCACTATAGCCATCCCCCATTCAGAAGGGTAAGACCCGTGGAGTCAATTAATGTAAATAGTGTTGTGAGAAATGGTGCCCACCCAGAGGTCATTTTGGGGGGGATCGCGGGGGATCGCAGTTCCCCCGGGTGAGGTACGGGGGTGGGGCACATGCCGAAGCCCCGCCCCCTGCTTCTGGCCGCCCCGCTTCTGGCCCTCATTCAGCCAGGAGGAGGCAGGAGAAGAGGGAGGGTAAGTTGCTTCCTCCCTGCCTCTATCCACCCCTGCCTGCCTGGGGCCAGGGAGGGCCTTCGTGGGGCTTCCTTGCACTCCCGCCGGCCTTGGAGCTGCAAGGCCACCAGTGGCGGCCGGGACCGTTGGGGGCGGGATATGTAGCCTCATGACACACTTCCGGTGATGTCAGGGGGTGTGGCCTTATGACACACTTCCGGTGATGTCAGGGGGTGTGGCATATGCTAATGAGTTATGCTAATGAGTTCCCCTAGCTCTTTTTCTACGAAACGACCCCTGTGCCCACCAAGCAATGTTTTCTTTAAAAAATTCGGGACGTATACCATCAGATCCAGGCCTTACCTTTAACTGGGCAATATGAGATTTGACTTCCTTGGGGGAAACTGGAGGCCACAAGGGGAGACCTGCAAAATCACCACATGCAACCGGAACTGAAAATGAGAGCTTGGTGCCAGAGCCACAAGCGGAACAATGACTTTATTTCTAATTCCTTTATAATAGCTGTAGAATAAAACCACATTACTTACTATCTGTCACCTCTGTGCTACAAGGTCACAATTGAACAAAGAGATTTGCTTGTAAAGGTGCGGGCCCCTTGTGAATTTGCGATCTTTTTCACATTTAAAATAGTAACCTCATCTGCAAATGTAATCATGGAACTATTATGGACAAGCTCTCTCCTCCATGAACATTTTCATATTATTAGAGCACATAATCTTATATGAAGGATAGAGGTCCCTGAGGTAACGGGCAAGGTACTGTCACCTGTGGTGACCAGTTACAGAATTCTGGTTTTAAGTGAATTTGCAACTGTTCAGTTGCCGTAGCCTTCTGCTAAAGAATCCTGGGAACTGTAGTTTGGTGAGGGTACAGAAACCCCTCTATGAGAGATCCACAGGCTTCTCATTACTGCCACACCCAGGGTTATCCAGAGAGAGGGAATAAATTAAACTCATTTAAACATGTAGACATGAGCTGGTAGTCGTGCAGAAGTAATACAGATCATGTGGGAGGAAAGACTGCATCTGCTGTGATCAATGTACTCAGACATATACACATGGAAGGAAGTCTGTCGACACATCAATAAAATTATATATAAAGTGATTTGCTAAATGAATTGCCCCATAATTTTATCAGGTGAAGTTACTTCTAACATTATCTAGTGATGAGTAAGAACCATTGAATCCTGTGCACTTGACTTCTCTGTAGGAAGAGTCTGAACACTCTAGTTCAACTGGATCTGCTCGCTTCTCTACATGCTTATTGCGCTGATCAAAGCTGCCATTTTATTTTCCAGAGGGATACTTCATTCCTAAAACCTGCTTCTTGTTTAGACTCATTGGGTTTTAGTGAGTCAAATTAGCATAATTTCATCATTCAAGTCTGGAAAAACTAGACCATAGCAAAAACTGTTACGTCTTATGTGCCACGGCCTGTCCTTAAGCCGACCTGAGCCTGCCTTTGGTGGGGAGGACTGGGTATAAATTAATTAAATAAAATAAAGAACTGCAAGGCAGTAGCATATACTGCCTCAGCAACCGGGACAAGCTGATCCTGCTATGGAAATGCTAGATTTTGGTGGGGAGGGTGGGGTATAATTAATTAAATTATATACATTAATTAAATAAGATAAAGAACTGCAAGGCAGTAGCATATACCGCCACAGCAACCGGGACAAGTTGATCCTGCTATGGAAATGCTAGACTGCAATGCCAGGAGCTTTATTTGAATAGCGTCTAGTTTCTAACTCTCATCTGTCACAAAAACAATTTATCTCATCTGATTGGTCTCAATATCACAAATGGATATAAGATTAATGCAATGTCCAGTTCCGCAGCAGGAACTATTTACACGATGTGAATGTAATTGGAAAATTAATTGTTCACTGTTTGAAGTGTTAGAATTGTTAAAAATTGAAAAAATAAATTAAAAAAAAATAATAATAAAAAAATGAATGCAGAGGAAAATGAAGGGCGTTGTATGCAGCTTGGTTGTGTTACCAGCTAATTATTATAGCTCAAGTCTTAAAATCATTTTACTAATTTCCCAGTAACTAATTAGGTAGCTGAGCAAAATTAAAAAAAATAGCCGCCTAGCCAACAAGTAATGTTTCTTTCCTCTTATTGCAACATCAAAGAACGCACTTTCTTTCACAGGAGATGAAGCCTACGGACTGAAGAGAACAGACTGTGGCTGCTTTTCTAATGAGGGGTATAACATACAGTCAAGCTCTAGATTTCCAGATTTTGTGGGCACAAATACTACAATTTATAGTAGCGCCAGATGAGTAAAGGGGAAGTACAGAGAAGCCTCCCTGGGTCCATCCTGCTTACTGGGAAAATTTTACATCTGGATTCTTTGCTATGACCATTGTTCCCTTTAAGCTGAGTTAGTGTGAGCTAGCTCACAGTTTTTTAGCCTCCGGCTCACACATTTTTGTCTCAGCTCAGGAAGGATGGCTCCAGAGCCAACTAACTTGTGCAACAGCCAAACCGCTCGCTCACAACTCTAATGCCGGTAGCTCACAAAGTAGAATTTCTGCTCACAAGACTCCACAGCTTAGAGGGAACATTGATATGACCATTCTTCACATCTGAGACGTGTGTGTATATACACACAGCAACTTTTTAAAAACTCCTGGCACGTAGCCAGGAACAGCTACAGCAGTCTACAGTTTACTCAAGTTCACTAGGGAATGTGAAACATTTCTTCCACATGATGTGGAAAAGTCCAGGGAGCAGAAGGCGCAGATATGCTGCATTTCCTGTACAGTCTTGCTTGTCATCTCTGAAACAGCCCTTTCCTTAGATAACTTGCAGGCTGCTGTATTCCATGCACAGGTAAGTGACAAAACACACACCGAGATCTAGAACGGAGGTGGATGGGAAGGACATGCAGAGAAATGCAACAATTCAGGCTCATCTTCCACACGATGCCCAGGGCAACAACAGACTGAAAAGACGTATTTCCTGAGGTGATTTCTTTTTAATTGTAAAATGAAAATCAAGAACACGTGTTAAAAGGTACATTTATAAAAATACCAAGTAGCAGCACGGAAACATCCATAGCCTCAGTGAGTTACCGGGGGGGGGGGGGGGAAGGACACACAATATATAGTAAAATGAACAAGCTGCTCTAAGCGTTGGTACCAAGCAGAGTACAGTGTGTGGCAGAAGGGGCAGGCAGAACCTGCGGGCCTGATGGCACCACTGGCAAGTCTACAAGCTGTGCGCGGCAGCTGCGCTTCAAGTTAACCCCCCCAGCAACCTGAGCTTATTTTGCTTGCACAAGAAAGTAGTGAATGCAACTCAAGGGGAGAGTTGGAGTTATACCCTGCCCTTCACTCAGAGCAGCTTACAATCCCCTTCCCCTCCCCACAACAGACACCCTGTGAAGTAGGTGGGGCTGAGAGAGCTCTGAGAGAACTGCTCTTGAGAGAACAGCTCTGGGAGAACTGTGACTGACCCAAGGTCACCCAGCCGGCTGAAATGTGAAGGAGTGGGGAATCAATCCCAGTTCCTCCCACATTAGAGTCCGCCGCTATTAAAACCACACCTTTCCCTCTTTTCTTTGTTAGAATCACGGACTTCTAATCTTTTAAAGGTCAGGAGACCAGTGCCGTTTGTGACGCAGCAAACATGGGATAACTATCCTGCCCCCCCCCCACCATGAAAAACACTAACAGCCAGGACAGCTCTGAGGTACTCTTTATCTCAAGAATTCTGTACTGCTTTTCTCACAGGCCGCACTGACCACTGCATGGCAATCTCTCCCACTTTCCCACAGGGCTAGGGGGTGTCATATGGACAGCCCCTGCAGCATTTCTTCAGGTCAGCGCAGAAAGAGAGAGGCAGAACAGTGGGAACAGAGGAGTAACTGGGAGACTAGATGAACAGCAAGGACTTCCCTTACTCACCGCCAAGGCGGCCTTGCTTTAATTCACCCCTCGTCTCAAAACAAAGCCCTGCTGACCCTGAAGCAGCTTGTGCAGTACCGCTTCCAACCCATCTCTCAAAACCCTAACGCAGACACAGTTTCCTGAAAGCTGACTAGCTGCAGCAGCAGTGGGAATCCAAAGGCAATTGTTTGTTCCATTCATAAAAAAGCAGACACTTGAAAGTAAGAGTGACAGGACATTAAGTGCCGGTGTGTTGGGCTGTAAGCAGTTAACGAAGCAGGATGCTCCACTCTTAAGACATGTGCCTCAGGCGGAAGAGCCCATGGGCTACAGTGGATAAACATCTCATTGGATACTCTGCGGGCTAAGAAGGTTCTTGGCAGAAGTATAGTTGCTCTCTCGTTCACTCTGGAGAACATTAATTTCCCTGGCGTGTTCAGTCCTCACCAAGGACTACAAGGATCTGGACAGTCTCTCAAGTAAGTCTCTATACGGCCTTCAGAAACCTCCATCAATGTTGTAGAAACGGTCAACTAATAAGGAGACATTGAAAAAAACAAAACACCAGTATGATTTAAATGTTAGTAACTCCCCCCCCTTAGGTTAAGGTACTATTTCAAATCTGGCAGTGCAGTAAAACAAACCGATTACGTTTCAAAAAAGAAACACAGGTCATCATCACAAACAAATATCGCACTTTAGCAAAGCCACATGTAAAACTCAAGCGCGATGCTTTCCCTGACAGGGGCTTACGCATGTTGCTCAGGAAATGCAGCGCTAGTAAATTTTGGAAAACAGGAGCTGCGATCCACAGGGTGGCACCTGGGAGGGCCACAGTGCCCCCACCTATGCATTTGTTGGCACCCTTTTGCTTCTTGGGAACAACAGAAGGCGTCTCGAATGGAACAAAAGGGAGCTTCAGGCCAGTCCCTACCAGCTGACTGACTGGCAGAGTGCTGAGCCCATCCCAGGCAAGTACTGGCTGCAGCCCTGCGTCCTTGTCTGGGCCATAGACAAAGAGCTCCTTATGTCTGTGGCCTTGGAAAATGCTCCCTGTGACTGTGCAGAGCGCAGACCCTTCCCCTCCTCTAGAGACTGAAGCCAGCAGTGCCTCTTCCTGAAGGAAGGAGAGCAAAAGAGGCACTGCCTTCGAGGCTGCGGAAGGGCTCCTCTGGAAGCAGCTGCCTCCATCACAGGGAAATGCTTGGCTTGGAGCCTCCCAACGTTTCGTTGGGCTCCATCTCCCTCTGCAGCAACCACTTTCTGCTGGTTCCCACTAATCTTTAACCAAAACTCCAAGAATGCCTGCAATCTTAAGACGACGGGAGTCCTCTGATGAAAAGATTCAATCCCACCCCCCAAAAAACCTGGCCCAGTGTTAGTGGCAAAGTTGGTAAGTACTCTCCATCCTGAGCAATTTCTGCTTCTCAGTCTCTCTCAGAGGCTAAGGGCATCTAGTACAGAACACCACCTTGACCTACAACAAGCAGTGGAGATGGCTCCTTTGCTCTTTCCAGCCTGGCCTCGTAGCAGACAGATGCCAGCCATAAAGCACAAATAAAAGGAGGGCTGCAGAGGTGAATGTAGCCATTCAGCAGAATCGAGCCTTGAAGCTTTACTTGCACGGTACGTAAGTTTTCAGGTTACCGTACGCAGCTAAAGCCAAAATATTTCACTAAGTATTCCTGGAGAAATTCAAATGAGGTTTTTCAGGCTGTGCAACATATCAAACGATGTACAAGTGGGGGAAAAAAAAGATTACCTTATTAAGGATAGGCTTTGTGGAGAGAACATTGTACAAAGCTGGTAGTGAGACATTCTGGAGGAGAAGAAAAAAAGAATGCCACCTGAAATTAGCCGAGACTGGAACAACAACAACAGCAACAACATAGGTAGCAATTTCTGTACTGATCTTGCACGCGAATGGGATTCTTACCTACCTAATTTTCTTATAATCATGCAACACGGGGACTATGTGACTGAAGTCCCCGGTTCAAATTGTGCTTCTATCGTGAACTTGCTTGGGGGGGGGGGGCTTTAGGAGACCATATGTGGGTAACTATGAACACTCAGCAAGGTATAGCATCTATATGTCTAATAGCGAAGTGGCCCCCTCTGTGCGGGTATCTAAATCCGCACTTCGGGGGCACTTGGGAAGCAGGGAGAGGTTTGTGCACACGTGGGGCGGTCCCCATGTGTGCACAAAAATCCTAAATGTTGGGGGGAAAATCGGGGGGATGTTTAAATCCCCCAGAAACTCACAGAGCGTCCCCCGCGCATGTGCAGGGAACGCTCTGCAAACGCCGCCGCCGCTTGGGAGGGAAGCGGTGAGCAGGGAGGGGGGGCCCTCGGTTTGTAGCCGGGGGTGGGGGTGGGAAGAGAGAGAGTGAGTCGT